CTTTTTGAAAGAATAGAAATTCAGAAATCTTAAATTTGATTACTAAATATCCCTAGACTTGGAGTTTTAACCTAAGGTATTAAATGCTTTTCTTAAAATTTGTTATTCTTTTTATTGAAATAAAGTATAGAAGTGATAAGTTAATCTCTATCCAAAAGTTATATGCTTTTATGTAATAAAAGTGTCACTTGAGGATAAGTAACATTTAAGTTTGAGGGATTTTGATACACAAAAATAATATGTTGTTTTAAGTACCCTTTTTATGCATATTTTTGGTGATATTGCACTTTAAAGAAATGTATGTATGTGTTTTTGTTGCAGTTATATCATTTTTAGGCATTTGGAGAAAAAATGGTAAAATGAGCGAAATTTAGAGCAAAAACAGCTTATGATGCGCCAAACTGGCGTATGATTCGCCAAAATCCAGAGCGCTGGCGCATGATGCGCCAGATTAGAGCATGATGCACTAGGCACAATATTTTCAAATTAAGGCGGTTCAAGATGAATTTTGTGCGGATTTTCAAAGGGACACTTATTCTAAGCACCCCATGGAGTGATTCAATACATTTAGACACTATGGAATGTTCCAATTTGAAGGGATTTGACTCTTGGATCAAAGAGGCACATCTTTTGAAATTCAAAATTTTGACTTTTGAACTTTGGAGGGAAATTGAAACTTTTTTGAGAGGAAGCAACCCAAAAGGAGGAGAGACTTCTAGAGTGTGACGAGAGGGAGAGAGAGAATTGACGTGAGTTAGAGAGAGAGAGAGAAGAGGAGATTTTCTTCTAGGGTTGTAAGAGGAGAGGGAATGTGAGAGATTTCTATTTCATTACATTTTTAAGAGAGAATTGAGAGTGATTGTAAAGAGGGAAAGACTTGGAGAGAGCTTCTAGGGATTTGCTTGGGAAGCATTGTGAGTTAAGTTATATTTTTCATTTCTTTTGTTTGTAAACTTGTTTTTATATATGAAATCCGTGTTTTATCGTATTATTCTCATGAATTCTGAGTAATCTTCTTTATCCTTTTCCCTACTTTGAAGAAATTATTTTGTGAAGAATTGATTTTATTTTATAAAGTTTTAAATGTCAATAATTTGTGATGATTTGAACTCCGATCTTCATTTACTTTTCGATCTTGCCAATTGAATTGTTAAAATGTGTTGAGAAATATATGTTTTTAAAAGGGGATATGATTTCTACAACAAAGGGAGAATCACATTTGATTTCATTGGAGAGTATTTCATCTATAGGATTAGGTGCAAATAAATAGGAAAATATACTTCGTTGGATGTAAAATTAGAAGATTTTAAGGTGACAGATTAGAATCCCCAATTTGGTTCAGTTGATTGAAAACTAATGCGAGCATGTTAGCCCTCAGGTGAGGGAGTAGTGGGAGCTCTAGAATGACAGCCGATATCCTCCCAGCATAACCACGAAATTAGGGACCAAACTTTGAATTAGTCATTGCTCTTTATAACGCTCGAGAGAGGGTAAAGAATATGAATGCTCATATTCGTCAACAAAAACCATCATTTTATTTCAGCAATTTACTTTTTAAAGTTTAGCATCTAGTTTTATTTACTTTTATAGTCATACATCTACATATTTAGTAGCATTTTACTTAAGTAGTTTAACTTCAAACTTCGTACTTTACTTTGTTTTTATTTTTAGTTTATAATAGAATATAAATAGCTAGCTTATATATATTTCCAGCTTTCTTGTGGGATTGATATTTAGAACTCCATTAGAGCCCTGTATTACTTGAACAATACATATACTTGTGTTATATGTGAAAGGAAATTGAGTCTTTAAAAGAGGTTTTAAGGATAAATTATTTTAATTAAAGTTACATTATTGTTTGGGTTACATTTAATCATTATTATTAATTTAATATCAATTTTCCCAAATTCCACATCAATTACTCCTATGGGGAGGCCATTAAACCACTTGGGGCAACTCGTTGTAAGGGAGTGGTGGAAGATCGCTCCGTGTAGAAAAATTGACAATTTAGTGGCTTAGAGATCTTTAGAATGCAGATGATCGACTCAAAGGAAGCAATATGGTTGGTCGGATCACTCCAAAGATTGTAGGATTCCAATGAAGAAAGTTTGAACTTTTTTTGTGGCTCAGTATCAGAGATCTGCCATGAAAAGGCATTCCTTAGTTGAGGGTAGACCCTAGCATGCACAAACTGCTGTCTGTTCAATAACGTAGACCCAATACTATCATGGTATTGAGAGTCTTCAAGCCTTTCAGCTCCATGGGCTGCTCGACAGTTTTGGGGTTTTGTTTCTTCTTCCTGGGGGTTTTGTTCCGGGGAGCCTGTTCTCTTCCGTTGAGTAATGTGTAGATCAACTATGTCATCTGAACCAACATATGATCTTTAAGGTCTTGGATCAGTTGTTGCACAAACTCCCTTGTGCACTTCATATTAGAAGTACTCTCATGTGGGTTTCTTTCTCGTTGTGTGCTCCTCTTCTTTTTGCTGACATGATCCATATTCACAGTACATTTTAGGTTGTTGAATCCAAATCTGTCATGTGAACCGCATCCAATGAATAGATTGTATGACATGAGAAAAAAATAGAGAGAGAACTAGAAAGAGAGAGAGAGAGTGAACAATAAAAGTAAGATTTTAGATATGATGAATCAACAACCTTTTACTGTAGAAATGACCATCCTATTTAAAAATTTTGGGAGTACCTAGTGTAAATTTACATGCTTCCTCATGCTTCAGTAGGAGCGCTACAAATTATTTTGGCATTTTTTCATATTCAACACCGATTTTGGCATTTTTTCATATTCATAATCGATTTTGACATCGTTTGGAATCCATTGAATATGGGCACCCAATGAATTGATGAATTTATTACTCGATTAGATGTGGGCCTTTGGTTGGTTGGAAAACGTTCGGTCGGCTGGAAGGTCATCGATCGGTCTAGATCTGACAATCAATTTTCAAGGGAAAATTCTAGAAGAGGCGTTCCTGTTGTTAGGATAAACTAATCGCCAAGCAGAGGATTACCATTGTAATTCCACAGGTAGTTCTCCTTGTTCAAGGTGTCTTCTCAGAGGGTCGAGGAGATGTTATGCGAGGAGCCTATGACTGTTTTGTGAGCAGCTCCAAAATTGGCAAGGAGGGCTGGTCGTGAATCACTATCTCTGAGATTGAACTCCTTCTATCTCTCATTCAAACGTCCTTTCGTTCGATCGCCGATACATGTCCTTAATGTACCCGTTGGATTTTTTTCCTTAACTATCGCCGATACATGTCCTTTGGTTTTTGCCAGTTGGACCCGTTGGACTATGTCTTATTGTCTTCAATTCTATTGGATTTTCTCGACATTCATGCTGATACATTTTTTATGTATAATTTGATATAGTAAACATATTAACATATTCAAGAGAATATATCTTTACTTTTTTGAAAGTAAAACTAGTGATGTATTTGATGTGATGCTAAGAATTTAGGTATTAAGAAAACATTATAATTTAGATGTCAGATATGTAAATACACTAAAAATTATGTGGTATACATATAAATCCCTTTTTATAATATCAACAACAACAATAATAATAATAATAATAAACTTATTTTTATTATCATCGCCGAACTTACAATCTTACTTAAAAATAATGAAATTGGCACAATTACTTTTAACATTTCAATTTAAAGTAGCAAGTGCTATGCATGTAAATATTAAAATTTAGGTTTGAGACATGTTAATACAAAAAAAATGCCTGCAACGCAAGTAATTCCCCTTTTAATTAAATGAAATTCAAGCATATGAACAATAATAATCTCTAAATTGAAAAAAAGAAACAATTAATGTATAAGCAAATCGTTTGTAATCAAATACATTGCTTGAATAAATCCAATTGGAAGATAGGAATCGTCAGATATGGCAACTACAGCTCCATGACACCATCACTCAACCATGAAAAAATATTATATCAGTACTACGCACGTAGAGTAACGTGCATAGCTAATGAAATCACACCACAACACCCTGCGCTACAGAGAAAAAAAAAACGACGCAGTAAAATGAGGAATATTTTCCCCCGTGTTATTCATATGTCATTGCGTGTTATTTATGTGTTATTGTATCATGAGAATATTCCTAGTGTTATAATAACACAGTACACATCAATAACACATGAATAACACACAATAACACATAAATAACACGGGAGAGAATATTCTCTCGTGTTATTGCCCTGTTTTTTTCTGTCGGAAATATAACACATAAATAACACTCAATAACACATAAATAACACATGGAGGCATATTCTCCGTGTTACTGCGCAATTTTTTTTTCCTGTCGCGCGAGGTGTCGTGGCGTGATTTCATTGGCTACGCACGTTACTTTATGTGCGGAGTACTGATGTAATATTTTTCCTCAACCATTAAGCACTTATGCCGAATGGCCCTGCTTAGGGTCAACTCTTTTTGCTTAGGGTCAACTCTTTTTAATAATTACTAATAATAGTAATAATAACCTAAGTTTATTTACTTATTTAATCATTTTAATTTTAGAAGTAAATTGATCTGATACTTTGGGGGTTAGTCCATAAATACAAAAATTTTGTGGGACATGTATATAAATTTCCCAAAAATAAAAAGTAGTAGCCGTTTCATGCAAAAATCCCACGTGCAAGCATACAAAATAATTTTTAGTCTTTTTGTCTTTTGCATTTTATTACAATTGAGTATTTGAATCAAATTATCCTTTTTTTTCATGCTAAATAAGCCGGCACATGAGTCAACTTAAACTTGTAAAATTAACCACAAACTCAAACTCAGTTAATTAATGAAACTCAAGCTCGAGCTAACACCAGCACTAGCTCGAACTCACCTCAAGCGAACACGGGTGCTAGCTCAAACTCACCAGACTCATTCACACCTACTCTCGAAGGTAGAATGCAAGAGAAGTAGATCAACCAGATAGTAATAAAGTATACGCTCCAACCTCTTTGTTTTTTTTTTTTTTTTTTTTTTTTTTTTTGTTTTGGTTTAATCTCAAACACTTGCATGCATTTGAACCAAAAACTTCTTGGTTGAAAGATTAAACCCTAAACCACTACGCCAAACCGACTTGCATAAAGTTACATTCCAACAAAACAATTAAGTAGCATATTCATCAAAATGAAGATTTACATGCATACCACTCAATTCCTATGTATTTACATATCTAACACCCAAACTTTCAACTATTACATATGACACTTTACCATGCATGAAAAGGCGTATATCACATTTTAAAGGTCAAAATAGTGGTATTTTTTATGTGATATAAAAATTTTGGGTGGTATAAATGATGAAAGTAAAATTTAGATGTTAGATATGTAAATACACACATACTGAGTGGTATGTATCTTAATATCCTAAAACAAAATTACACTAAACTTGGAATACAGAAATAAAATTGTTGATGATTGCTAAAATAGCATGCATTAATCTGGAAGGCAATAGTTTCTTCTCTTATGTGCAAAGCCAGATGGTACAACAAGAAGCCAATAAACGAGTCCTTACACTGTACTGAGTATGGAAGCAGCTAAATTTTTGGTTGGGTGGAAGCTTTGATAATAGATGTGAGTGATGGATGTATGCGGGCTCTCTTCAGAGAACGAGCTTCACTTTTACCCTGCAGATATTCTTCACCCAATGGCCATCTTGGCCGGATATCATACTGCAAAATTTGTAGGAACATTCAGATAGATTGCATAAGAGCTCCAGAAATAGAGGACAAGGTGGTTCCTTCCACCAAGCAAAATGGAATTATTTGGTTGCTTGAAGTTAGAAATCATGTTTTGAAAAAATGCTATTTATTAAATGCATTTAGTTAAACAAAAGAATATTGATCTGGAAGGATTTACAAACCTACATATAATATCCTCAGAAGGGATGATTTCATTTTCACACTTAAAATGAGAGAATAAAATATCATCTCCTCAGATATGTTTTCGATTTATACCCTTTGTTCAGCATAGAATTCGTAAACGCAATTTTGAAATCATTGTAAGGTAAATGGTTGTTTAATAACTTTTGCCCTTTTTCTCTCAGCTAATATTTCTGTATGAACATAAATGGCATTCATGATAAGGATAATGTACAGGCTTATGCACTAACCAACTTAAAACACTGCAAGTATGTCAATGTTAAGCTTTATGAAGGAATAATAAAAGTGTTAAAATAGTTCCCGTTATCAGCAGTTATTTTAATCCCAAAATCTATAAAAGTCTGAATTTAATTCCTGAAAATTTTCATAGCGACTGTTTCAGCTGATGTTAAAATAGTCTGAGAATTAATTTGACACTTTCTGAGACAACGATGGCCAATTGTAAGTAGTCAAGGGACTAGTTTCGCATTTTACGGATAAATTAATAAACACCATAGAAAACAAACTATTTGTTACTTTTGCACTTCAAAGCTGGCTGCTATGCCCACTTAGGAACAGGTCCAAGCGGGATCATTCGGGCATCACTCGTTCAACACACCCTGGCCAGTCGATGAAGCAAAAGGATGGGGCGAACATGATAGGGATGGTCGTCTTGGCAGGAAGTGGGGCATAGAGTTTCAGAGTCCACAGGGGTGGTAATCACGTACAAAGAGGAGAAATCAGAGGAGTTTGGGAAGAAAGTTTGAAGTGCTATGATAGGATTATTTTAAGGCTATTAAGCTAGGGTTTGAATTTCTTTATGCATGCTTTTGTGGGCTACAGTTTTCTTTTCTTCCTATGATATTTCTAGCGACGTCTAGGGTTGTGAGAGAGAAGATATACCTCTCGAACAATAGATCATTTTTGTATCTTACCTGTTTTCCTTTAATTTTCATAAGAGCAAACCTCGTTTGAGTTTTTTCACCTCTAATACAATTGTTTCGACATTTGCACATTGATTTTGGTTCCAGATCGCATCAAATTGATATAAGAGCAAGATCTTGAAAGAATGACAACGAAGAAAGTGAATGTGTTGGAAAGAGAAATTGGGCAAATCAAATATGGAATAGAAGAAAGGTTCACCACCATGGAGGACTTGGTTTTTTTCCATAGAGAGTTGAATGGAGGGCGGATTCGAGAGCGTAGGAGAAATGTGAGAGATGATGAAGAAGCTCATGGAGATGCAATCCAAGGCCATGCCGACCGCTCAAGTTGCAAATCCTAACCAAAGGTTGATCATGAAATCCTTGGCCATATCAAAAGGGAATGAGATCGAACGAGAAAACAACGAGGACATCACCTATCACCAAGAGCGTCCCCCTAAGACTCCAAGAGGAGAGGGAGTGGAGATTTCCGATGGAAGGGGTTGGGCTGAAAATTGGAGGGATAGTGCAAGGGGTACGGAAGAGCATGAACGAGGAAGGAAGGAATCAGAAGTCGGGTATGGTTATGATTGAAGGAGGGAGTTCAACTCGAGACACATGGGGGGAAACACCAAATGAAGAGGAAGTTGGGATGCAAAGGTCAAAAAAATAAATATGTTGATCTATGAAGGAGAAGATGCATTAAGTGAAGCTCTACTTTGCAGCCAATGGATTAACTGAGGAAGAGAAGCTCATTGAGGCCGGATGATGTTTGGAGGGAAAGACACTAGCGTGATTTCAGTGGATGGAGGCAAGGTATCCGATGCATTCATGAGAAGAGTTTAAGGATTGCTTGTTGGAGCATTTCCAAGCCATTCAATAAGGAGATCTATACGAGCAATTCTATGCTCTGACACAGAAGAAGATGGTCATGGAGTACAAGTAGAGGTTCGAGCTCTTGTCAAGGCGGTTGAGGGGTATCTCTACAGCAGGACTAAAAGAGAACTCTTGAAGAGCTGAAGCTTGACATCTGAGCGGCCATTCAACCATTGAGAAAGTGTGGATTGAGGAAGATGATGGAGAACAATAAACAAGTGAAAAAGATCAACAATGGCGACAACACATGAGGATTCTATAAGAGTGCCTTGACAGCCACGACACCGAGCACACAATGTCATTTCAGAAAGAGACACCAATGGAGAAGAATACAAAGACTCTTCCTAAGGGCAATTGCAAGCACCTCACCGAGTTAGAAATGCGGGATAAAAGAGCAAAGAGATTATGTTACCATGTGATGATAAGTATGCCCCAAGTCACCGTTGCAAGAAGCGCACCCTTCAAATCCTTTTATTTTAGAAAAGAGGAGATAGAGGGTGAGGAATCGAAGGAAGATGCAATAGAGGAGGAGCATTTGCACTTGGCAGTAGCGGAGATGCCCCTCAATTCAGTTGTCGGATTTATCTAAATCACACCATGAAAGTGGGGGCAGATTGGGAAATAACCGATTGTGGTATTGATGGAAAGTGGGACCACACATAACTTTATCTCAAATCAGGTGGTGGATCAGCTAGAATTAGGGTTGGTGACTACAGGGAGCTTCAACGTCATGATGGTACAAGAAAGGTGGAGAAAAGTCTGAGAATTTGCAAGATGTTAAGTTTGACACTACATGACCTATAGATGGTAGAGGACTTCCTTACACAGATGTGAATCTGGGGATGGAGTGGCTACAGACGCTTGGGGAAACTAAGGTGAACTAGAAACCACTGACGATGGAGTTCTAAGTAAAAGGGAGGTAGGTGATGCTCAGAGAAGATGCTAGTTTATACAAAATCATGGTTTTGCTCAAAAGCATGGTCAAGTTGATATGGGGAGTAAGGATGGGCTACTTAGTGAAGTTGCAGAGCATTGAAGAGATCCAAGATCCCGAGTTGGTAGAGTTTCCTGAATGGGTCCAATAGCTCCTGCAACAGTTTACGTGTATTTTTCAGCAGCCAAGCAGGTTACCACATCCAGGGAGCATGAGCATGCTATATTACATTAAAGGAGGTCAGATAATACCAGTATCATTAGATTCAGAAGGATGAGATAGAGAAACTGATTTGAGAGATGCTCGAGGATGAGATTATTAGACCCAGTGTGAGTCAGTTCTCTAGTCCAGTTCTGTTAGTATAGAAAAAAAAGATGGTAGTTAGAAATTCTGCGATTACATCAGGCTTTGAACAAAAAGACAATGTTAGATAAGTTTCCTATTTCTGCGAATGATGAGTTGTTGGATGAGCTTTATGGGGCAATCATCTTTTGGAAAATAGATCCTAAGTCGGGATACCACCAGATCAGGATTAATCTAACGAATGTGAACAAAACAACGTTCAGGACACATAAACGATATTAAGAGTTCTTAGTGATCTCATTTGGCCTCACCAACGCCCCAACCGCATTTTAGTCCATCATGAATAGGGTTTTTTAGCCTTATCTCAAAAAATTTGTCCTGGTCTTCTTTGATAACATTCTAAACTACAGTCATACAGAGGTGGAACATGTGGAACACCTGAGGACAATCCTAGAAAAGTTGAGAGAGCATCGGTTGTACGCCAATCCGAAAAAATGTTCCTTTGCACAACTACAGATGGAGTAATTAGGGCATGTGGTGACTAGGGCGGGAGTAGGACCATCCAAGATTGAGGCTATGCTAAACTGGTCTTTACCCAGAAGCTTGAAGAAGTGGAGGGGATTCCTAGGTCTCATTGGATACTACAAAAAATTTGTAAAGAGGTGCAACAAGATAGCAAGACCACTGACAGAGTAGCAGAAGAATGATAATTTCAAGTGGGGAAAGCCGCAATACAAATCTTCGAACATCTGAAGAGAGTCATGAGTTGTGTACCAATACTAGTACTTCCATATTTCAATAGAACATTTGTGGTAGAAGTGTACGGAGAGAGTTGATGACTATTGTCTTGGCCATCTAGAAGTGGTGGCCCTACTTATTGAGACGACATTTTCTTGTTAGGACAAATCAGAGGAGCTTGAAGTATCTATTGGAGCAGAGGATGGTGGCTGAGAAGCATCAGAGTTAGCTATCCAAGTTGTTGGGATATGATTTTGAGATTCAGTATCGATCAGAATTGGAGAATAAAGCAACAGATGCCCTGTCCAAAAAGGTGGAAGAACCTCAATAGATAATATTATCAGTACCTTTGGTCTTAGATTAGGAAGTCATGAGGCGAGAGAATGAGCAAGATGAAGGACAGAAGAAATTACGAGCAAAATTGCTACAAGATCCAAATAGTCATCCGGGATATGCATTGAGGGGATAATAGCTACTCTCCCAGGGGTGGTTAGTGTTATCAAGAGCACATTCCCAAACAGTTGAAGGAATTCACAGTAGTGCAATCGGAAGGCATTCCAGAGTGCAAAAGACATACAATCGTTTATTGACAGAGCTATACTAGGTGGGGATGTGCATAGACGTGAAAGATATGGTGGCGCGGTGTGATGTGTGTCAGCAACACAAATACTTGAACAAGGCACCAGGAGGATTGTTTTACCGAAAAAGGTTTGGGAAAAGGTAACCATGGATTTCATACTGTGATTTCCACAATAAGAAGAGGATCATTGTGGTAGTGAATCGCTTGATCAAGTACACACATTTCATTCCATTACGACACCTTTACATTGTGATGTCAATGTCACGATGTTCAAGCGAGAAGTTATCCGTTCCTGTGGAGTGCCGGAATCAATTGTATCAGACAGGAACAACGTGTTCCAAGGCCAATTTTGGAAGGAGTTGTTCAAGTTATAAGGAGCAATCTTTAAGAGAAGCACAACATATCATCCTCTGACCGATGGCCAGATGGAGTCAAAAGGAGCGTGGAAACATCTCAACATTGTTTTGTTTAGGATAAACCGAAGATTTGGAATGGATATTGGTATAATACTTTGTATAAGGAAGCCAAGTGAAATGCGTAGGCCGAATATTGGTATAATACTTTGTACCATATAGTAGCGCAAACTACTCCTTTCAAGGTTTTGTATGGGCGGGATCCACCCCACCCGATAAATTATGGGCATAGTGCTAACACCGGTATCCAGTGTAGACCAGTACTTGGAGGACAGATATATGATATTGGCGGAGCTCAAAGGGCATCTACTGAAGCTCAACAAATAATTAAGAGGAACACATATGGACATAGAAGAGAGGTACAATTCGAACCAGGGGACATGATTTACATGAAGTTAAGACCCTGTAGGCAGAAGAAATTGGCCCAGACGAAGGAGCGAGAAACTTTCACCGTGATATGTTGGACCTTACGAAGTGACGACATGCATCGAGGCAATGACCTACCCTGTGAGGTTACCGCCATCCTCAACACTACATACAGTCTTCCACATTTCACAGCTGAGGAGGGCGATTGGAGATCATACACCCTCATCGTCGCTAATCACGATGATTTGAAAATAGTTAGAGGTTGAAGGAGTGCATGAAGGAGGGGCGAGAACAAGGGAGGTACTTATTAAGAGGAAGGGTCTGCAAGAGTATGAAGCAACGTGGTAACAGTTCCTTTCATTCCGCTTTGAGAGCAAGGTACTTCTTTTGGAGGGGAGTATTGTTATGTCCGCTTAGGAACTGGTCTGGCATCACTCGTCCGACCAACCCATGCCTCTAAGGGTTGGTCGACGCAACAGCAGGGTAGGGCGAACATGATAGGGAGGGTCGGCTTGGTAGGAAACCGAGTAGAGAGTTTCATCGAATAACGTTGGTAATCACGTACGAAAGAAAGAGAAATCAAAGTTTGGGGAAAGTTTAAAGCGTTCTGATAGTATTATATTATGGATATTAACCTAGGGTTTGTTTTTCTTTATGCCTGTTTTTGTGGCCTAATTTTTCTGTGCGGACTCCTGACATAGCTCTACATGTCGCGGAGATTATTCCTGAATTATTTTCAGGTTATTTCTGGGTTATTTTCAATAATCCCGAAATAACCCAGAAATAACCTAAACATAAAGACTGCGGGTTATTTCAGGATTATTGAAAATAACCTAAAAATAACCCAAAAATAACCTGAAAATAACTCAGTAATAACTTCCTCCGCACGTAGAACTTCGTCAGGAGTCCAGACAGAAAATGCGCTCGTTCTTGTGGGCTACAGTTTTCTTTTCTTCCTCTGATCTTCCTAGTGATGTCTAGAGTTGTGGAAGAGACAATCTACCTCTCAAACGTTAGATCATTATTGTATCTTGCTTGTTTTCCTTTGAATTTCATAAGAGCAACCCACATTTGAGTTTTTCCACCTACCTATTAAAATTTTTTCGTTGTTTGCGTGCTGATTTTAGTTCTAGATTATATCAACAACAACAACAAGCTTTTATCCAACTAAGTGGGACTGGCTATATAAATCATTTTTCTCCATCGTGTCCTATTAAGTGCTTGAGTGTCATATTTTCATTTAATTCTAATAATTAAGATCACTTTTTATACAATATGTCCAAGTCTTTTTAGGTCTACTTCTGTCTTTCTTAACATGAGTCGAATTTTAAGACAATTCTAAAACATCTACTCTCCTAACAAGATCATTAGATGGTCAGTATTTAATGTGACCAAACCAACTAAGACGACTCTCTCTAATCTTGTCCGCCACTGGTGCTAGATTAACCCTATCACGACTATATTCATTTCACATTTTGTCTCTATGTATTAAGCCACTCATCTACCTAAGCATTCTCATCTCAGCAACACTTTATTTTATGTTTCTCTTTCAAAGGCCAACATTCTGCGCCATAAAACATTGCAGGTCTCACCACCATCCTATAAAATTTTTCTTTAAGTCTAAGTGACACTTTTCTATCGCACAATAGGCCTAATGCATTCCTCCACTTCAACCAACCAACTTGAATTCTACAAATAACATCACCATCCATATCACCATCACTTTGAACAATAGACCCGATATATCTAAAACAATCACACCTATTAATGATTTGATCGCCCAAAGTTACAACTCTACCGCAAGAGTTACTAATACTAACATTACATTCCATGTATTCAGTTTTAGATCTATTAAAGCGAAGGCCTTTAGATTCCATTATAAACCTCCATAATTCAATTTTTTCCTAAATTCTTTCTATAGTCTTATCAACAAGAAGAATATCATCAGCGAAAAACATACACCAAGGTACACCCTTCTGTAAATGTTCAGTAACAACATCCATAACTAAAGCAAAAAAATATGGGCTTAGAGCCGATCCCTGATGTAATCTAACTGAAATAAGAAAATACTCGGTCAATCCTCTTTTTCTTCAAACACAAGTAATAGATCTAGTATACAATGACTTGAATATAAGCAAGCATCGGAGAGCTTAGCTCAGACTGACAATAACAAAATACTCATTATGCAAAATATCATATGTAATTTGTAATAACCAAAAATAAAGGTGGAAATAAATGATTAAGCTGAAGGAAACAGGCTAATACGGTAAAGCAAATAAACTAAACAAAAAGATGGAAACATAACACTCAAATCTTATGTATTTTACATATCTAACAACCAAAGTTTAATATGTACACTTATAACACCTTAGTGTCATAAATCTATGCATGAAAATGTGTATTTTACTTTTAAAAAGACAGTGTTGATGTTATATCAAAGATTTGAGTGGCATGTATGTAAATATGAATCTTTAGGTGTTAGATATGTAAATACATAAGAATTGTAAGGCATGTATTTAAATGCCCTGCATACCACATGATCTTCCGGTTCACTTGCAGGTGGTGGCGGATCAAATCTTCCTAAAAGAAAGTGCTCGATTCCAGTCCAAGCTACCATTACACCTGTCAGGATAATAAGTAAATCATAGCTTAAAATGCATATAGTATGGCTACAGAAGGTTCAAAAACCATAGAAAAAAAAAAGTAATGTATAAATAGCACATGCACCGTTGATAACCATGCACTTACCCAAGAAAAACTAATTCAATGAAGTGGAAAAAGGACTTAAAAGTCATCTTGAGGGATTCATAGAAATAGAAACTCACAAAAGTTGTTCCGTCTTTTAGGTTAATCATCTTACCACACATCTTACATTTTTTAAAAATTAAGCGCCGTTTGGGATCATTTTTAGTTTATATTTTATATTTTTTTTTTCTTTTGTTTATTTATGTTTTTACTTAAATTGAAAAATATTTGGTATTTTATAATATGCTTGGTTATTTTTAAAAGGACTCAAAATAATGTTTAGATGTTTTAAGTGTTAATAACACAATAATTTGTTTTTAAAAATAAAAAATAAAAAAAGATGAAATTTACTAAATAAATATGTTTTTAAAATAAAAACAAAAAATAAAAGTGATGCCAAACAAGCCCTAAGTATCATTAAGCCATGGGTAAAACAAATCAGATAGCTTTCTGAATATTCGTACATTTACTCATTTCAAAAGCTATACTAAATAGAAAAATTGGTGTGTCTAAATATTTAATTAACCACCTCAAAACACTAAAGTTTTGACCTTGTAGTGCTTCCACTTTATATCAATCATCTCCACCATTCTACGTATCTGCAGTTCGCTAGTTACACATGAATTTTAGAACTGCTTCAGAGTCTTGACATAGTTTACCAGTAGCTTAAACCTAAGTACGCCAATCATGGAACGGAGAATGGACAAATAACAACTTCCTCTAGTAAAGCATATTTAATTCTATTTTAGAAATGAAACAAAAAGTTAGCATGCATAAGGATGAGAAGAAAAAAAAAAGCGCAAACGAGTACCCAACCATGAAATTTCTGGAAGAAAACTAGGGGTATGGAAATTGGATTGTATTGCAATTGCATGAAGGAAGTGCACAGCAATATAAGGCCAGTCCTTCCTAAGCTTTGATCATCAAAGCTTGGTAAAACCGTTATCTTCCAAGATTCAGCCCAAAGTGTTGCTCACGGATGAAAAGAGCATAATAGAATTGTTCATCAAATTCGATAAATTCTACAAGGTTTTCATGCGAGTTCCTGGTTTCTCATGGAAATCTCCACAGACTAGGCTGATAAAAGGAGAAAAATCCTGGCATCACTATTGAAATTTGCATCTAATACAGGGTCCTATTTGTAAATAGATGGGGTCTAGAAATTTATTTGTAAATATTGTAACTTGTAAGGCTCATCAATGAAATGAAGGAGAATTTTTTTCTAGCAACAATTTCTATTTAGTATCAAAGCCCTTGTGTGTTGCCGCGGTTGCTTGACCAAGGAAGCAGCGACGGGATTGCAGGATCGCAGAAGGGCAGCGACTCGCACGAGGGAAGCGGTGACGTGATCGCAGAAGGGCTGCAGGAGATCGCGGAAGGGCCGTGACTCGCACGAGGGAAGCACTAACGCGAGGGCCGCCAAGCTCCCGTCTTTCTCGTCGTCAGCTCTCCCGAGAGCAGGAGCGGAAGAGGGGAGTTTGGACGTTTCACACGTGCCGAGCGGCGAAGGAGCTTTGCAGCACAGACAGGAAATTTACGATTCAGCCTTTTAACGTAAGCTTCGAAGATCGATTCCTTCTATTTGCTAAGAAGCAGAGAAGTGCAGTTTCCTGCGTGCATAGGATCAGGGAGCTTCAATCAGCTTAGCGTTGAATAGAATCTGGCAAGGGCTCTGGATCTAGCATATAAAGTAAAGAATAGTTAAAGCGAGTTTGATGTTTGTGATTGAAAAAGTAAGTAGATTGAGATAATGCAGGGGGTAACGGATTGGAAATTCTCGGGAAGATGATCCCAAAGTTCTAAAGGTCATGATCGGGTCATATAGGGTGCTAGTGTCTCGACGAAAGCTACTACTTCAGTAGATGCTCCGATGCAAGTGAAGCTAGATCTCCCTTCCTTGGATCTGAAGCTTGATGAACTAACAATGTATCTGAGTGGGTCGCATCGAATCGAGGGTGCCCTATTAGGGAAGAGTCTAGACGGATACCTAACAGGGGTCGAGCCAAAGAGTGACAATGTTGAGAGGAATGAGTGGAGGACCGCACATTTCTTGCTTTACACTTGGCCAACTCGATGGTTCCATCAATTACATCATCAGTGGATGACATTCGAAAGGTGAGCGATATTTGGACGAAGCTGAAGAAGACCTATACTAGAGCTCAGAACCACATAGGTGTCAATATTTTGAGTAAATAGGCTGAATGCATTTTCCTTTGCTTTCATTCCATTAAATAATAGTCTGTATAATCTATTTTACATAATATTCACATAATATTCTGTATAATCTATTTTAAGTAACTTAATTAATACATATTCCTAATCTAAATATTCAGCTAAAAGAAAAGAAACCGTGCAAATATAATATTTCATTCTTTGCAACATTATGAAGAAAGAAACTTTTTATTCTGTCTGAGTTCATTTATTCCTGATTGATATCCCCCCTCAAATTGATGTTGGCTGATCAAAATATATCAATTTGCTGACAAGAAACTCATGAAGCTGTCGAGAAAGAGCCTCAGTAAATATATCATCCGTTTGAAGATCTGAAGTGATATGAGGAAGAGATATAACACCATTCCCATAGGCTTCTCGAATGGAATGACAATCCACTTTAATGTGTTTCTTACGCTCATGAAAGACGGGATTAGCAACAATCTGGATAGCGCTAGTATTATCTACATGAAGAGAAGTAGACTCAAGCTGAGGAAAACCAAACTCAGCCAGCACACCCCGAAGCCAAATGATCTCGGAACAAGCAGAGGACATAGCACGATATTCTGATTCAGTAGATGACTTAGACACTCGATCTTGTTTCTTGCTCTTCCAAGAGGTTAAAGAATTGCCGAGAAACGTGCATCATCCAGTAATAGATTGGTGTGTATCAGAACAACCAGCCCAATCAGCATCATTATTGGTTGTTAAGGTGATAGGCGACTCCGCAGAAAAGAACAAACCACGATGAGAAGTACATCTCAAATCCCGAACAATACGTTGAACTACAGCTAAATGGAGATATGTAGGTGCTTGCATAAATTGACTAACTTATTGCACAACAAATGAAATATCAGGATGCGTAATGGTCAGATATTTAAGACTCTCAACCAGTTGTCGATATAGAGATGGTTCAGATATAAAGTCACCATCATTCTATTGATATTTGACATTTACTTCCAAAGGAGTATCAATAGAGCGACTATCTTGAAGACCAGCAAAAGCAATGTGTCCCTTCGTATAGTTGTGTCAATGAAGAGAAGAAAAATACCAGCGGGAAAATACCAGCGGGAGAAGAGTGAACCTCGGGTCCTAAGAAATAAGTTAATGACCCTAAATCTTTCATATGAAAAGAACCCTGAAGACGTTTTTGTAACTGAGATATCAATTGATTGTCAAATCCTATGATGACAATATCATCAATATAGACTAATAACAAAATAATTCCTTTGTCAGTCTTGCAAAGAAATAATGACGAATCATACCGACTTTGAATAAAAGAGAAGCTAAGAAGGGTATTGCGAAACTTTTCAAACCAGACCCGTGGAGCCTGTTTCAAATCGTATAGAGACCGTTTGAGCTTACAAACATCATGTGAAGGTGTAGAAAATAAGCCTGGAGGAGGAGTCATATAGACATCTTCTTTGAGATCCCCATGTAAGAATGCATTCTTAACATCCATCTGTTTTAAGAATCAACATTTAGATGCAACAATAGATAACACTAGTCGGACAGTTGTCATTTTAGCCACAGGTGCAAATGTTTCTTCATAATCAGTCCCATATTCCTGTCGATTGCTAAGAGCTACCAATCATGTTTTATATCTGTCAAGAGAGCCATCGGATCGGAGTGTAATAGAATAAACCCATTTACAACCAATGGGTTTAACATCTGTAGGACATGAAATAATATCCCAAGTGTGATTGTCTTGAAATGCCTGAAGTTCCTCATGCATGGTTTTGACCCAGCAAGTCTGTTTAGCAGCCTGAGAGTAAGAGGTATGAACAATAATATTAGTTAAAATTGCAGAATACCCATATTCATCTGGAGGACGGATATGTCGGGTTGATCGTCGAATACTTATTGGAGCAATTTCTGGATCATGGTCGGGGAGGATTAAGGTGAAGGGGGCAGACATCGTGTGCAGGCAATTGTCCGACTTGAACCGTTTATCAGCAGAAGAATTATCAAATTGTGGAAGTATAACTGTATCTGGTGTCGACACATGATGCTGAAAGTAATATTCATGTTAAAAAAAATCACATTCCGAGAAATACGCCATTGACTATTAATCAAATCATAACAGAAAACCTTTATGATTAGACCTTCATCAACAAGTGGATGAACAAAACAAACACATCCGAAAGTATGTAACGTATGATAATTAAGATAATTATAAAAAATTTGATAGTAGAGAGACTCATACTTCAATGGTTGAGATGCTAAACGATTAATGAGATAAACTGCAGTAGAAAAAATTTCAGTCCAAAATTTAGCTGGAACATATGGTTCTATCAGTAATGTGCGTGCAATATCCAATAAATGTCGATTATTCCATTCAACAACTTCATTTTGCTGTGGTGTATAGGGACATGAACGTTGTGAAATAATACATTTGTTATGGAAAAATGTTTGAAACTCATGAGACATGTATTCACCGCCATTGTCAGACAGTAAGGTTTTAATGCAAGCGGAGAACTGAGTTTCAATATATGCTAAAAATGTTTGAAATACAGTAAATATTTCTGCTTTGGAACACAAAAAATATATCTAAGTAAATCAATTGTAATCATTAATAAATGTCACAAAATATCTATGTTGAGCATGTGAAATAACTGGTGTAATTCTTCAAACATCACTATGAATAATGCCAAAATATTTATTGG